GTTCCTCATCATTCCCACTCCCTCAAACTTGGTTTGATCAAGAAAAAGACCGAAGGGAACTATTTCTGGTTTGTTTTCTTTAATATCTCAAACATTTGTTTGATAACGCAGTTGTATTCATTCATTAAACTTTGTTTAATCGTGAAATAATCCTGGCTTTTTTCCTATGCCGTTATCATCGAACCTTGCTACAGTGCTCTTCTTCGGGGATTAAGTAATCAGTAAGTAATTCAGAATAAGATGATTGGCCTTCTCTTGCGTAGCGAATAAAGAAAACCTGAAGAACGCATGCTCAACGTAATCGCACGTATCCTCAACGTGAAATGGCGGCATTTTCAAAATTCCCACTGTTTGTTTTCATTTTGTAAGGATAAGCTCAAACTAAAGCTGATAAGGCTGTTGCTTTCAGAAAAGTTTCTGTCAAACCTCCTCCCCCACATATCTTACTCAACAAAACTGTGAATTCAGAAACTGAAATAGAGCATCAGTAACATGCTAACGCTTTAACTGTCTGGATAAATTTAAAACAGCTCAGGTTGAACTGTAAATTACTCTTCAGACTCCATTTAATTGTCTACTTAGTTCACATCAATAACAGTCCAAAAGGGGTAAAACGATGTTAAAATTCGTTCAAGTAGGAGTCAAACGCTCCCCAAACGCGACATATCCGCAGGCATGCGCACTCATTTTATCCCTATGTCCGTGTTATCAACACAGCTCCAAAATGTGTGCGCATGCTTGTAAAGTGAGAGAAATTTACAGTCAAACTAAGTGAAGCGTACCCCTCAGGATTACATTAATGATTTGATTATTTGAATATTGAACCCGCTAATCGTTTCAGGAGCGCAATAACGAATTGAATATTTGAGCATGGACCCCGCTAACCGCTTCAAGAATGCAATAATGGAAAGGTACGACTTGCCCGCAGTTCACACATATGTTTCATATGTTTGTTGTTGTTTGATTTATCATCTACGGGTTTATATCGAATTAATTTGATGGCCTGCTCCCAGTTGGCTTGTTAGCTCAATTGGTAGAGCGCTGCACTAGTATCGCAGAGGTCAGTGGTTCGAATCCCGTACAGGCCTGAAATTTTTTTCAGGTCTGATTTTCACTATTGCTCAAATAGTGCTTTACTGCGAAGGATCGTTCTCATATACGTCTCATAACCGCAGTTCACACATATGTTTCATATGTTTGTTGTTGTTTGATTTATCATCTACGGGTTTATATCGAATTAATTTGATGGCCTGCTCCCAGTTGGCTTGTTAGCTCAATTGGTAGAGCGCTGCACTAGTATCGCAGAGGTCAGTGGTTCGAATCCCGTACAGGCCTGAAATTTTTTTCAGGTCTGATTTTCACTATTGCTCAAATAGTGCTTTACTGCGAAGGATCGTTCTCATATACGTCTCATAACCGCAGTTCACACATATGTTTCATATGTTTGTTGTTGTTTGATTTATCATCTACGGGTTTATATCGAATTAATTTGATGGCCTGCTCCCAGTTGGCTTGTTAGCTCAATTGGTAGAGCGCTGCACTAGTATCGCAGAGGTCAGTGGTTCGAATCCCGTACAGGCCTGAAATTTTTTTCAGGTCTGATTTTCACTATTGCTCAAATAGTGCTTTACTGCGAAGGATCGTTCTCATATACGTCTCATAACCGCAGTTCACACATATGTTTCATATGTTTGTTGTTGTTTGATTTATCATCTACGGGTTTATATCGAATTAATTTGATGGCCTGCTCCCAGTTGGCTTGTTAGCTCAATTGGTAGAGCGCTGCACTAGTATCGCAGAGGTCAGTGGTTCGAATCCCGTACAGGCCTGAAATTTTTTTCAGGTCTGATTTTCACTATTGCTCAAATAGTGCTTTACTGCGAAGGATCGTTCTCATATACGTCTCATAACCGCAGTTCACACATATGTTTCATATGTTTGTTGTTGTTTGATTTATCATCTACGGGTTTATATCGAATTAATTTGATGGCCTGCTCCCAGTTGGCTTGTTAGCTCAATTGGTAGAGCGCTGCACTAGTATCGCAGAGGTCAGTGGTTCGAATCCCGTACAGGCCTGAAATTTTTTTCAGGTCTGATTTTCACTATTGCTCAAATAGTGCTTTACTGCGAAGGATCGTTCTCATATACGTCTCATAACCGCAGTTCACACATATGTTTCATATGTTTGTTGTTGTTTGATTTATCATCTACGGGTTTATATCGAATTAATTTGATGGCCTGCTCCCAGTTGGCTTGTTAGCTCAATTGGTAGAGCGCTGCACTAGTATCGCAGAGGTCAGTGGTTCGAATCCCGTACAGGCCTGAAATTTTTTTCAGGTCTGATTTTCACTATTGCTCAAATAGTGCTTTACTGCGAAGGATCGTTCTCATATACGTCTCATAACCGCAGTTCACACATATGTTTCATATGTTTGTTGTTGTTTGATTTATCATCTACGGGTTTATATCGAATTAATTTGATGGCCTGCTCCCAGTTGGCTTGTTAGCTCAATTGGTAGAGCGCTGCACTAGTATCGCAGAGGTCAGTGGTTCGAATCCCGTACAGGCCTGAAATTTTTTTCAGGTCTGATTTTCACTATTGCTCAAATAGTGCTTTACTGCGAAGGATCGTTCTCATATACGTCTCATAACCGCAGNTCGATCGAGTTTACATGAAACGGCAAACGTCAGCTTGGCCTTTCACGTTTCACGTAAAATAGCGTGAAGCTTGCTGCTTTAGCTTCGCGTAAGCTCCCGTCATGGTGGATTTGAAGGCGCCCTTGTATGACTTACAAAGAAGTTTTGACGCCCTTTTTCCAGCAATTAACTTCTACTCGGTAAAAGCAAAAGTGAAAGAAAACCTTACCTTCACGGCAAACACGAAACATGTTACTCTCACCTACAACGGCAAAGTGCTACCGGCAAACGAGAAAAAATGGCGGGAAAAAAAGGTCACGTGGTCACTCTTGCCGTTCACGTTTCACGTAAACGCGGTGCTAAATCTTTCTCTATTGTTAAAAACTTCGTGGCGACTCCGAAAAGGTCTGAAGGGTTAGTGGCATTCTTTTAACTATAGTTCATCGTGAGTTGTTTTAAATTTATCCAGACGGCTAAAGCGATAGCAGTCACTACAAGCTTTGTGAAGGAATTTACGTCACGTTCTTCGTCATAAACCGAGCTAGAAGTTGAAGGGATCGCTTGATAGTCAGGTCTCTTGCTCATGATTTTCTTAACGTGGTGAAAGAAAACAAAAATGAGATGGAAAAGGTAGGATATAGGCCAGTAGAATTATCTTTCCTGAAATCTTTTCTTGAGTGTTGCAGCGAAGCAAAACAGAGTGGAACCAACATGGGTAGATCACGAGACAACCGAAAGACAGCGTTTTTATTGTAAGGATTTTTCATCGACGCAACCTAAATTTTTGAATCGCAGTTAACGGAGCAAGGGACCGTTACTTAATTTACTATAACCCAGGATTGTGTAATTTGACGCAATGGCAAAAAAGTGTTTTATACTGCCTTGAGTATTGCCTGTTGTAAAAAGTATTAATCGTCAGAAAATAGAAGTTTATCCAGTTAACATCATTCATTTGCCACGAGGGACACAACATACTGAACAGACAGCGTTGAGTAATATATTCAATGTCTTTATTCTATGACATACAGAAATGTTAGGCCATAAATACCGCATTTAAATAAATTTTACGATAAAATATACATATACATCATTTTTTATACATGGAAATATTTGGAAATTTTTTTAAAATTATCTCTCATCCCACTCTTACGACGTTACACGTTCATCAACAGTCTTTTGTAATACATAAAATCGTCAGATCAAAGAAGGATTGCGTGACACTCTGACAGCGTGACACTATGTATGCAGCTAACGCCATGAGTGCAAGCGCACACATTGGATGAAAGAAACAATTTATATTAAAGAGATAATGGACTGTCTAGTCGATGTGAACTCAAACGAGGCTTACCCGTATTGTTCTTCACTAAAAACTACTACTGCTTGAGTCTGGAAAGTCTGTCATCTCTTTTGTAGGCTTTTTTCGAGCTGAAAGTTAACATGAAGCGAAGTGTCACACGATGTTCTTTTTAACACAATTCGTCCCAAGGTAAATTTGTCTTCATGTGATAAGAAACGAAATCAACGAACAAAAACAAGAAGAAACTCACTTTTCTTGTATGCGTTCCATATCCTTACAGTTTTGTCCCAAGAAGCGGAAACATACTGAAAGAACAAGGTTAAGGTAACGGGTCAACAAAAATTGAAAACAACAAGAGCATTTTTAAAAATTTGAAATAAACGGGACCTGGAGCCTGAACACCATGAAAGCGAGGTAAAGAAATTTTAATTTGGTAATATGAACTAAGTTGAAGTTGTAAATTGGCCACCGTAAAGAGTTAAAAAGCTGACGTTTCGAGCGGTAGCCCTTCGTCAGAGCGAACAATTTCAACTTAGTTGATATTACCAAATAACCTTGTCACTCCCACTGACGCAGCTCTACAGTTTCTTTAGAAACTTACCTACCTTCATTCATTTGTCTAAAGAAATTTTAACCTCGTTTCCAGGCCGGTTGTTTGTAGGTACCCTATGCTTAAAATTAAAATCGTAACGTACAGTTCCTAGTAAAGTAATAAGTACAACCGTAAAAAGAACGCTCAATTGTGACACCATACCTGACTCCTCTCGGGAATATGAATAATACATCGCACAGAATCGCTATGTCCAAGATTCTTCTGCACAATCTTGCGCGTGTCTGGATCATAAACCCTGGAAATGAAACCAAAAACCTGATTGGCATTCCGCCTCAAAACGTCGGCGATCTATGGCATCTACTGCAACAAGGCTAACGGAAAACACACTTTTAACCAGTTTCTTCCGAGTGCCTATTTCCTAAATATTGCTGAATACCAGCTCAAAATTGCCAACTACTTGTCCTTAGCATTCACGGGAGTTAAGGGTTAACACAAATAGCAAAAAAAAAAAGAAAAAAAAGAAAGATTTTGGTAGAAGAAGACATGGATGTTTCTTGTTTGTGAATGTATGTATGAACACTTATTAGAGGTCAATCATCATGAGCTATCTATCCTACAGTTGACTCAATTTTTCTTACATTTTAACATAGATGAATTAGCTTTATAGTCTCTTAAAGCAAAATAGCATATCATCAATATAGTGATTGTCTCATTTCCCATCACCTGCTTGCGTGACACCAAAATTATTGCAAAAGGCATAAAATCTATTCGTCGCACATTCCGGTTTATCGCCCGTTTTGTTGACGCTGTAATGTTACTGCAACATTCGTCACACACTCTCACTGCCTGTTTGCGCGACACAGTACCGATACTATAAAAAATATCACCAATATTTTCCTCGCAGGTTTCCATGGCCTGTTTGCGTAACAATAAACGGCTACTCTAACAAGACATCTTTTATGTTTCTCACGCACGTCACGTAACTTTTACCTAATGATTTCTTGAACTCCAGCCACAATACAGCCGTTCACTTGATCAATACACAGAGCTGAAACGGCTCCTTGGGCACTCAGTACCACGTCGCACGCCATTCCATCTCCTCTCTGCGATTAGCAACAACAGCAAAAGTACAGATCGGAGCGGTTTTCAGATCAACTATGGTAATCTCACAACCAAACAAATCGCAACAGCCAATCAGCAGAAAGGAAATCATTGCAGAGTTCATGAAAACTCAAAGAAAAAAAAATTTAAAAATCCTAGCGCGCAGTTACTGAGTCGTTATTGGTTCATTTTCGCGCCTTGTTAGTTGAGAGTGGCGCGAGTTTTCAAAATCAGCCATAACTCTGGTTTACTTCATGACAAGGTAGTCCTGAGGTAAATCTGAGTGTTCTAATTAGTTCTTAGTTGGTCAGGGTTTTGCCGTACGGACCGTTTCCACGAAAACTGTCATAAGCCGTGTATTTTTGCTCGAAAAAGCCGGGAAATTTCAGAATAATTAAGGTTTTTTCGAGTGCCATAGAATAAACTACTAACTTACCTCGCTTGCTCGAGCCGCACTGGAGAATATTGGCCCTCCGTCGTTTTTTACGTACTGCCACGACCTCGAGCCAATAATCTTACAGAACGGCCCTCGCGCTCGGTTAGTAAGAAGTTATCACTTTTCATGCTTTGTTGAATATGATCGGTACTGGATTGTACCTACTTCAAAATAGAGAGTTTCCAGATGTCAGTCACAAAGAACACTATGAACTTACCCAGATACGAATAGTTCCATCTTCTGAGCCCGTGATCCATTTATTAAGCACAGCATTCCAGCGAACCTTTCGACAAATAAAAAATTATTCGTCTCTAAATTGAAATCGTCGTAAAACGCTTATCAGCTTGGTGACGATACAACAGCTCTAACGCTACCAAAACCCATTTTTTTAAAGAGTAATTATAGTAAGGGGGCAAACATTACTTGATGTATGTTCAAAGAAGCCTAATTTTTCCCTAAATACGCCGTTGAACTAAACGCCGAGCAAAGAAGAACCTGGTAAAGAGTCTTGATTGTAGCGTTCTCACCTGTGTAACTTCAGCCTCGTGGCCTTGTAACACCGCTGACAAAGTCATCTCTGAGCCGCGATCAGAGAACTGTCTGATGTACACCAACTTGTCAGACGAAGCATACGCGAACTCATTTCTACAGAAGGTAAAATAACATGGATACAGAGAACTTGAAATGCACAGAGAGCTGTTGTCCGATACAGCCCAACTGTTTTATCAAACAAAGAGAGAGTTTTCCTTAAAGTGCCCCTGAGATCAAAATTTTCGTACATCATTTTTTTTTCATTTTTGTGTTCAGTGTCTCCTTCACATACTCTGCCAAATTTCAGTCTAGACCGAGCACCAGAACTATCTTTTTTCGGGCCGTTAAATGTCTTAAATTCGCGATTACGCGTCCGCCATTAATTGACCATGTTCCGGAAGTTGATCGCAGGACTCAGAGGGAGTGACGTCAAAGGCTCAACGCGAAAATCTCACATGGCAAAATGTCAAGCAAACACAACAAAGTGCTTTACTCTATTCTTACAAAAACTAAACAAAAATGACGAGGCATCGATGCGTAATTCAAAGCTGAAGTAATCGTGCAGACCAGGTTGCAGGTATTTCTCTGCATCGGAGCCAAGAAAATAGGTCAGAGCGGGAAAAACGGATGCGATTTGTGCGAACTCGCCGAGTAAACTTCAATCCTGCAGGAATATTTGGGATCTGCTCCGAACACTTCTCGGAGGACTGTTTCGAGAGATCTGTGTAATTTGAAGGATCTAGGCGAAGAATTCTGTCGGGTTCAGTGCCTATCGTTCGAAAAAGGGACAAGAAAAACCGTCCCCAGTGCGATCTCGACGAAAGGGAAGCTACGAACCTCCACGGGTTTTGTCACCTACACATGTGAGTTGATCATTATCCGCCTTTAACAACTCTCTGGCAGAATACCTTACAAAAAGGAAAGAACTCGGTGAACATTGTAAATAACAATGATAATAACATAGCCGAATTGAAGAATGAGATTTCTGACCTCAAAGAACTCACTTTTATACAAAAGAGATGAAAAATATAATTGTGTGCTCTGATTGTAAAAAAAGCTGGCTTCAATATCAGCGAAAGTAGTACAAACAGCTTAAGACACATAGAGCGTAGAAACACTTTAAAATGTAGGCTTGCCGCCAAAAAACCGAGAAGATTAACATTTCTTAAAAGACCTCTCAAACTATCAACCATCTGACAGCCAAGTCAGCGTGCTATCAAAGGGTCTCAGATTCATCCCAACACCCGTGACAAACGAATGTAAAATCATGCCAACTTTGCGAGATTTATTCGCGAGACGAATGTGCCTCCGTTACACCTTTCATGGACAAAAAKAAAGAACCACTTCCATTTCATATCTAACTGAATGCCACCGGTTCAGTCTTCTATCGCCCTCCAGAGCTACTTGGAAAATTGTCATAACACAACTTGCAGACTGTATCTAAGCCAAACAATACTTTGTAACGCAATGAGGTCACGGCTCTAAAAGAGTTGAAAGAAACTCTGGTTTAACCCTCACCGAATCAGCACAAGAACAGCCATAATGAATAAGACAGAAAAAAACAAAAGAGGCCAAAGTGCAACTCAACAACAGAGTTCACTTCAAACCTCTCAAAGCAGCGATAGTAAGAAATACGCAGGAAAAGGTTAATGAGATCATTGACCAAATGCATCGGGGCAAACACATTGATGGCTTAGAAATGGCTTTCACAAACTCCCAATATCCGCCTTCGGATACATAATCAGCCATTGCCGAAAACAATTTTATATATCATTCTATCATTTCTTACAAAAAAGGAGAATCCCTTACGACAAGCAAAAATACAATTTGAAGGCGATAAAGCGATGCGACCACAAAAGCCACATGGCAAGTCCGTGCCGTTCTGTGTTTATCTTTATTCGCATGGCAAAAATTCATCGTTTGCCGGCGCAAAACTATCCACAGAAGCTTCAGATGATTTCTGAGAAAATTTATCGTCAGAGAAAGTCGCCATTTCACGATTGACAACGAAACAGTTCTCAAAAAAGTAATATGTGTGATTCTCTGTGCAGCGAACGAAGAGAGTTGTGACAAAGCAAAGCATAAGTTTGTTGAGCCTTTGACGTCATGATGAGGTTTTCTGCTGTACAATTGCGGGCTCGGCTGGAACAGACGATTTTTTGACGACTTCGAAGCGGTAAAAATTGGTCCTCGAAGGTTTGCTTTGAGTTTTTAAAGGCGAAAGGGGTTTTAACTTGACCCAATTCAACATTCTGTAAACAAATTAGCCCAAAATAAAATGGTCAATTTTCGTCTCATGGGCACTTTAAGATTATGGATTCCCCAAGATTTCCCTTGCACTTACAGAAGCAGTTCGAAAGTGCGTCTTTGCTTCCTTTTTAATAGGATTTCTTCCTCTTCACGGGTACAATTTTTTTTTGGTAATAACCCTTCATACCTTTGCCATGTTTCGTTGACAGCCGACAACTTGTAGTCCTTACCTAAAATCACAACTTATTGCCTCTCTTTGACCTTTAACTGAGGCCTTTCAATATCGGGTCCAGTGCCGCAACAATCATAACTCAACAAGTCCCTCCTTTTTACCCTTTCCATCTTATTTTTGTGGTCATCGATGCGTAAAACGTCAGCCGGCTCCTCGCCCCAATCCCCAATAGTCGCCAAGCTACCTTTAGGGACTGGGGTGAGGAGAGGGCCGACTCCCCTCTTCAAATGAAAATTTGCCGTTTACTGCACCGACGGGTGAGTACCAAGTCGTACCTTTCAGCGCTGTACGTTAGGTCCATAATGATACCATCTGAGGCCAGCTCATCGCTCTCAAGGGCGTTGGGATCAGTGTTGCGGAATGTGTCGTGAAAACTATACAAAATACAAAGGAAAATTTCCTTTTTCATCATTTTGATAGCTTTCAAAGAAAAATGCCAGGACGAACGCAAATAGCTTGATAATGTAGACAAGTAAAGTTAAGTAGGAAATCATTTTATAAGGTTAGAAATTCTAAACAGAAGGGAATATTGAATGGTGTGCACTTACCAAGAAGCTTCCAGGTCCCACAAGAAGATCCGTCGATCCCAGCCAGCACTGAGCTGAAAGACGAGGAAAAGGAAAAAAAAAAAGAAAAGAAAAGAAAAACAGATCTGTTACGGTACTGAAGTCCTTAAGTTGCTACTTCATCAGTGCTCTCAGGCTCAGCCTCTTTCTGGCGTTCAGTAAACAAAAGCGAGCGCGATAGTAAACGGCGCAATAGAAGCGGCAAGGCGAAAATGTTTGGATCGAGTCGCGTAATGAACACCAGTAAAACTTTTTGACAAAGGTTCGTTCCAGTGGACCAGAATATGGTAAACCCCCAAAATTTCCGGTTACATGACTCAACTCCCACTCAACTCAAAGTTCATTCTCTTATTTTTCGATCTGACCGAAAACCCACCCACCCCACCCCTTTCACTGCTATTGTTTTATCCATCGTGCTCCCTTTTGCTAACTTAACGTCTCGAGCCACAGGCGTCCCAAGATTACGTCTCGAGACGTCTCGAGCCTGTGCTCGAACATGCTATAAGTCCTTTTGAGGTTCCGCTGCTGAAGAATATTTTCTTTCTCTCTATGATGACCAACTGCTGCGTAACGAAACTGTCGCTCAAGAATGCTATCTTGAAACAATGAAAACAATTTCGAGGAACGCAAAAATTTTAAACTTTAACCAACAGTTGTGAATAAAATGATTCTCACCAAGTATGTTGTATTGTAACCAGCCTCTCTCCCTACAACAGCCAGACCAGTGACACAACTGGAGTGTTCTGTGAACACGTGTTTACAGATGAATCCTGCCACCCTATTGGTTACTGAATCGTGTTCCGTAGAGCCCTGTTCATAAACCCGACATAAAGTTACATAGAATAAGTAAATGCTTGGAAACACCCGTTGTGAGTGCAGAACTACAAGAATTTATCAGAAGAAAAGGAAAGTGAATTTGAGAGTCAAGAATACTAAAATATTGAAAGCTCTGTTCAATATGCGATATCTTGTAAGGATTGCTGCGACTTATTCATTTATTCATGTATTCACTTCGCCAAAGAATTCGACTAAAGTTTGTTCGAATTTTAGGTGATGGGGAAATCTGTAGCACATGGGGAAGATGTAATTTAAGTACTGTAAGAAGACAGACTCTAAATGTTCGTACTGGATGTTACATAACTAAGATATAACGTCTTTCTTTGTAAGTCGTGTGACTAAATAATGCGCATTAAAAGAAAACATGCTTTGCACGATACGTTTTGCGAATGAAAGATGTCCGTCGCTTAACCTTTCACTTCTAAGAGTGACCAGCATCTAATTTCTCCTTACAATATCAGCCCTGAATCACACATTAAGGTCACAAGAATATGGGAAATGATCACCAACTGAAAAAGCTCTCGATTGTTAAACAAATTCTCCTTGTCAGCACCTTAGGAAATGTATAGAGAACACTATGGAGAATATGCATACTGATGTTAGGGTGTTGTAAACGGCTACCACACACCTCTATATCTTTCTTGATAGGCTGGAAGGCCTTTTCACCGAGCAGAATTGCGTATTTGTAAATTAGATTTTCATCTGCTGGTCTCATGTTTTCCAAAACTTTCACAGCATCCTCGTCAAAGCCCCACACATCTATCCAAACAAACATAGCTTCAAACACCCAACTTCACTTCACTCGCAACCCTTCTGAAGAACATTTTACAAAACAATCGTCCCTCTGTTGAACGCGACAAAGGAAGCTTTTTTCTCTGTTTATAACTCACTCAGCGCTAATCAGACAAAATGTCAATTTCTGTAAAACACAGCGTGGATGCCGACATGACAGTTAGGCGGGTATTCTGGGTGTTAAACAGTGTGACCCGGCTCCTCTCCCCTCTCTCCCCTCCCTCCCACTTAAAGCATCCAACCTTCACCATTGCTTGAACTTACAAATATTATTGTCTTCTGATGCCACCACCAGTAAATCAAGGTTCTCCACAAAGACGGAGCTTAACAGGGAAATGTTGCTGGTGTGTTCAGAAGCAGGCGACATCTGAAACATCAAGGCACCAAAAGTAGTGAAGTTAGGGAGTCGTGTAAGTACTATGTATTGGTAAAAATTGAGTAAATGGTTTCTTACAGCCGTTTCATGAACATAAAAAAGACTTTAAGCAACCCACGAAGGCGACGGTGACGGCGACGGCAACGAGGACGTGGAAAAACAAAAGATCCAATTGGCAGAACAATAGCTCAGCACGTGCGTTTTAAAACTTTGTACATTTCTTACCCGGCCTTTGCAAAACAACAACGTAATATTACCAAAATTCGCGTCGTCTGCGAACCGAAGCCGCGAAGGCAAATTATTTTATTTTCCACTTGGAAATCAACGCTTCTTCTATGCGTTATGTTGAGGCTGAGGTTGAGGTTGAGTATGAGACGGTAAACACATGCAGCCATTTTCGAAATTCTAATTAAAAGTAGAAATTCATTTTTTAATGGACGTCTGCCTTGGCGTTGCCGTCCTGACTGCTTAAGGTCCCTTAAGTATCACAATCGTAGAATCTACAAGGTTACTTGGCGATTTTCCCGCCACAATGACGTAGGTGTACGCGCGGCTGTAAATCTTGGCGGGAAACTTTCTTAGGTTTCAACATTTGCGTTCTCTATAATGGCCCAAAACCCAAAAATACCAAGAGAATTTTTAAGTAACTTTGTAACTCATTCCAGTAAACTCCACAATGCACGAATTGTACTGCATCGTTTGTGGCAGGTGTCAAGAAAAGTTCGTTTCCTTTCTTCACTAGTCATAATAAGAATAGAATACTGATAGCAAAAGTAAGGAGCACGTTACGAGGCGACACGTTGGTCATGAATATAAATATCAACAAAGTTATTTCCCAGGAGAGGGAGGGAGGGGAGCAACTTGCGATGGACTGGTGTCCCATAGTAGTAGTGCTAATGAAAATGGGATAACCTACACCAGGATTAGTTTTTCTAGCCAGCTTAACTTTAAATTTTGTTTTAAAGTTACTTGCGGGATACATACCTGATTAATAGTATTTAGGAAGGAAGGTCTCGGCCTGTTCTTGCCACTTACACCCCTGTTTGGACTGCACCAATCGAACTTGGCGGCGATCTGAGCTGCCAGGCGAGATTTGGCTTCACTCTGTAACAATACCTCTTTGCTGTTGACGAAAACACCACACAGCATGGATATTACGAATCTTATGGCGTTAAGACCATTTACGGTGATTACGCGAAGATTTCTAAGGTTTCCGCTCGCTGGACTGAGGTCTTTTCAAATATTTCGGCACAAATATTTGAGAGGAAATTCAAAGGAGAGCTCGAGTAAAGTTCGGTGATAAAACGAGGAACTCTGACGTTTGTCAAATGTCCCCAACGTGAAAATTCCATATCATATACAACTGAATAATATCTATCTTAATAACACACATTCCATTTCAAACGTGCGGCTGTTACTCGAGTCTAATAAACGAAAAAATGAAAAAAACACTAAAACAGAAAACAAACAGATGAACAATTCACTTTATTTCATTTATCATTCATGAGTTAGTTCACCTAACATTTTTTTTTTTATTCTCGTGTATAAAATTTCCAAAGGGGGGGAGGGAGGAAGGGCGAGAAAGATCGTTATTTACCTGTACATGAAGTTGTTTGACTGAAGTCGTTCCCATTTGCACACGTGACCATTACTACCTCCACTGAAGATCAAAAGGGGGACTTTCCGAGCTGGAAAATATTCGGCAAAATAATGACACTAGTAAACTAGTATGGCTAAGGATAGCCAGATTTTCATTGTAACATAGCATATCATAAGTGCAAGGTATCCGGAACGAATTTTCCACGTCGATACGAAAGAAAAAGTCCAAGGAATAGTTTAGAGAATGTGCAAACTGATTTTAGGGTGTCAAGAGTTCATTTCGTCAGTAAGTTTGTACGATGTCGGAAGCTATTGCCATCAATAGAAATATGTTCTTTTTTCGTCTCGTCACTAGCACGGGACAAAGAAATTTACTGAGTCCCTAGGAGGATCTAAATCTCAGACTATCAGATTCCGCGCTTCGATGCTCTTCCACTGAGCTGCAACGAACTCTACGATAAGCACGGCCATTATTGTGTTTATCTTTTGACAAATATTGATTCATATGATGCATGATCCTCGCAGTAGATAGCGCTATTTAAGCAATAGCGAAAATCAGACCTGAAAAAAGTCAGGCCTGTACGGGACTCGAACCACTGACCTCTGCGATACTGTACGGGACTCGAACCACTGACCTCTGCGATACTGTACGGGACTCGAACCACTGACCTCTGCGATACTGTACGGGACTCGAACCACTGGTTCGAGTCCCGTACAGGCCTGACTTTTTTCAGGTCTGATTTTCGCTATTGCTTAAATAGCGCTATCTACTGCGAGGATCATGCATCATATGTATCTAATACCGCAGTTCAAAAATGTATGAACTTCATATATTTCATTGTAACCAAATATTGATTCAGTTGTCATCCATTGTATACCCTGGGTGCCAGAGGGTTTTTCTTTTCTTTTGTTAGCAGCGAAACCGCCAACAGTGTGAGGCAAAGCTGCGATCGTTAGCTTTGCCTCTCTCTGTTCGCGGTTTCGCTGCTAAAGAAAAAAACCCTCTGGTACCAAGGGTATCCATAGTAAAGAAACAACATGATCTGTAAACAACTTACTGTAAGTAAGAGACTCCATTGCGCACTTGTTTTTCAGTGTTGTCAAACATCCGGATGAATTGTATTTCCACACAATCAGATGTCGCCTACTGTTTGTTCCTAACGGATGTCAAGTATTAAATCCTAAATCAGTATGCATTACAATCCACAGAAACTGCCTAGCCAGTGGTTAGCGCACCGAGACTTGTAGTCTGGTGTTCCTGTGATCCTAGGTACCTGTCCTCCCCTAATCGCTTCACAATAGATTTGTTACACCCAGCTGTCAAACGTTTGCGCATGTGTGAATGTTGGTGTGTTTAGTCGGCGTGCTTTCAGGTTGTCAGAACAAAGTTGTCTTGCGGTAAGTGACGGTGTTAAATTATATAAGCTGTGTTTCGATGTCTTGAGTTTTTGTTTTTCCTATTTTTACTTTTACAGATTTCTGTGAACGTTTCAATATTTTCTCGCATCTTTCGCGAGACAGCAGTTGTTTCTTGCGTTTTCCTCAGAATCTTTGCGCGGGAAACTGGCGCACGGCCGGCCACTTGTCAGGCATGCCCGACGTTTGACCGCTGTATTGGTATTTTCTCGGTTGCCAACTCCTTGACTGGTCTGTCTCCCATAAACTGCGATTCTTAACCAAGTTCTCTTTATCTGAAATACTTGTTTCATTGTTTCACAATGGCCCTAAAAAGCCCCGTGTGGTAAAATTAAAGCAATTCACTTGTTTACCTAAAAGACTAAAAGTCTCAACTTCGGTGCATTTCGCTTCTCATTTTTCACCAATATTTAGTGACTAACAATTTCTAACAACCAGAACCATGCAGTGCACCTACCTATTACGTGTCCTAGGTCAGAGACATTGTGAAACAACACCAGAGGAAAACTAAGAAAAAAATGTTGAAACAAGCTGAGGAAACACCTCATAAAATAACGAGCAGAACATTTTCACTAATTACAAATAAATTTAGAAAGATGTGTTTTCGTCTAGTCACGAACGTGGGACAAAGAAAAACTTTTGAGGAAACCGTGAGGAACAAAACCTGAGACCTTCGGATTCCGCGCTCCGATGCTCTACCAATGAACCACAGAGACTTTATGACGATCGAGTGAGGCCCATTACGAAGTTCATGTTATGACATGCGTCTTGCATACTACTAATATCGGAAATGTCGAATGAAGAAAGATGATAAGTTTTGAGCGACAAATAAATTTTTCCCAACTAAGTAATACTTTTATCTGAGAATTTGAATTCTCATGGCAGTGACAAAGTATTGAACTTCATCTCTCTTACCCGCTACTTTCTTCATCTTGAAATGTTCCTATAAAATCTGACACCTGCAAGAGATGTGAATTTTGCACTTCAAACATTTTCATTTCACTTGAGCTTGGTCAAATATGAAAACTGTATAATAGAGGGGGGCATTGGGGCCTCTGGACAACCACAAAACCGGAGAAAAAAAACCTCCAAAACCGAAAAATCGACGAAAAAAGGCAGCAAAACCGAAAACCGCATGCAAACCTGACAAAACCGCTACATCTTCACCTTTAAAGGGGTCAAAAAGGAAAAACCGAAAACCGCATCTGAGTTTTCGTGAAAACCGAAAACCGAATGCAAAAACACGTAAAATCCGCCAACCGCTCTGAACATCAAAACCGAAAAACCGAACCTTTTCGGCCCAAAAACCGATCAAAAAGAGCAGTCAAAACCGCAAAACCGAAAATCCTAAAGCCCCCCTCTATAATAGTGTATCAACAATGTAATTTTCCAGGAGAGGGGAGGGAGGGGAGAAAAAAGAAGAGGGGAATGGAAGAGAGAGGAAAAGGGAAGGGAAAGGAGAGAACAGACTTTCCTAAGGGGATGACCTTTCCTGTCTTTCTGAGAAATATTCACTTTGAAGGTGGCTCAGAACCATTCTTGCTTTCATCAAGTTATAACTTACATCAATTCTTTGGTAAATACACTGTTGATATTGTCACAATTTCAAAATCTCTTTTATTCTTGATAAAGTTGTAATAAGAGGCCCAATTTTTAGCAAATAAGAGTATTGATCACTTTTTGACATAATGGACAAGCATAGAAACACCAGAGCCTCTTATAAACACCATTAATTTTAGCTTAGCAGAACTTTTCAGTAATAAAACAGGTGACCCCATTTTTCATCCAAAACCACACATGGTATATAAAGACTAAACCCTCCACAAAAAAGCCACCTTTAGTTAGTTTTTGTGGTAAATTTAAAGTGGCTCTGAGATTTAACTTAAATTTTGCTTGTTTCACAAAACCACTCAAAATATCATGTGTAGTTATTTTGATCTGTGAAGAAGCAGATGAATGGTAGCAAGTGACTCACATTTTCTCCAGATTTTGGATCATACATAGTAGCTTCAGCAGTGCCAGCTGCCACCCAAATGGTCTTGATGGGTCTAACATAGCAGACTCCAGTTACTGCAGCACTGTAAACAGCAAAACAGTCCAATAAAGCAACATCAGAGACCTTAGGCTTTATATCAGTCAGTGTTTAAATACAGTAATGAATAAAGGCTAATAGTTTCTAAAGAAACTGGCGCTGCGTTGGTGGAGGTAACAAAATAATTTGAATATATCAACAAAGTTAAAATGGTAAATTGGCCACCGTTATGGTTATAAAAGCTGACGTTTCGAGCGTTAGCCCTTCGTTGGAGCAAATCAAAGAAGGGCTCCGATGAAGGGCTAACGCTCGAAACGTCAGCTTTTACAACCGTAACGGTGGCCAATTTACCATTTCAACTTTGTTGATATATTCAAATTATTTAACTACAGTAGTTTCGCTGAGGGTTAATTTAGTAATAATGTAAAGAGAGGTGTGTGCAAAGACTTTCTTGAGTACATATCTAGTTCAAAGTCAAATTATTTTACACTGTTTAAAGGTTTCTGTGAAAATCAAGTTCTTCAATTTAAGAAAGGTGATCCTGTCACTCCTCAATTTTAATAATTTGTTAAAAAGACAGTTTTTAAAAATTAAGTAATTTCAATATATTAAGAAAAAATTGAGTATCCCTCTTTGAGTATCCCTCAAAAAATTAAGAACTTATTTTTTGAGGGATACTGTCTTTTATATAGAAATTGCCAAATACTCAAAAGCCAACAGTAAAATGAACTGTACATGATCGGTTGGGAAAACTTTACATGTTTTTCATTAATTCACATCTTGTACCTGAGTCCATCAAATTTATGCATGACCTGTCCATCTTGAGACCAAACTTTAACAACCTTATCAAAAGCACCACTTAACACCCTGGGAAAAAAAAAAAAAAAACAGAAAGGTTGCTCACTAAATTGTACATTCAATCAGTGGCAACAAAAATCTCTATTTAAACACCGCAACAATTAAATTTGTGACAACTTGTATTAAAAATCGAAAACTAAGATTGATAGGATACCCTATCAGTGATTAATTCTTCGTTTACAAAGACTGTAACTTACCATGTGTTGTCTGAGTTTCGTGCCAGGCACATACAGATTATTCCTGCATCATGTGCTTTGTTTATCCTGAAATACAAATTTGCAGAATGTTTGTACTGTTATATGTATAATTATAATAATAAAGCTTGTACATTATTTCCATACATTTGATATATGCACAAAATCTAAGCCTGCAGTCATTAGCTATAAAAATAAGAGGTGATCGATAAATAACATTTTTAATGTTCATTTAGTTTACCTATTTGCTCTGAACTGTGCATTAGGAACATAGTCGTTCTTATTAAGTTTTCATTGTATCATAACTCGTTAATTCAGTAAGTTACTGCAAGAGAGTTTAATAAACCATTATTATTATTACTATTATTATTATTATTATTATTATTATTATTATTAGGAAATGAACAGAATCAAACTTATCGCAAAACTAAGTTTTAGTTAGAGCAGTTTTTTGGCTGATAACTTTGAGTTCTATTTGTAATATGTTGTAATGTCACAGAAATGCAAGACTGACAATACCTGATATAGTTAGCATCTAAAGTTTAGAAAGAAGGGAGTTCATTTATCATGGTCTACAAGCTTCAAACACTAACCAATTTTCAAAGCTTACTTTGTTACAACTGATAAACTGTAGTTTCCTTTATATGAAAAAGTGGAATCGTAAACCACTAACTTCTGGTCATACCTGTAAAATACATTCATTTTGATGAAATCACCTACAATCTGAGTAAACCTCAGTAAGTCTGGTGCTCAAAGACTGTTTTGGCAAATTATGCAGTTTGGAAGATTGAGTGGCAGTTAAGCCTTTAATTTACACCCTAACAACAGCATGCTGAGTGAGTGAGTGAATGATATTCTCCATACTGTTCTCTATACATTTCCAGAGGTGTTAACATGGAGAATTTGTTTAACAATCAAGAGCTTTTCCTCATTTCTTTTATTCTCCTAGCCTTAATGCTTGATTCAAGGGTAATATTGTTTGGAGAATTTAGATGGTGGTCACTCTTAGGGTGTAAGGGTTAAAAATAAATCAAAGAGGCCCACCGTGATGATGTAAGGATTGTATTTTGTCACTTTTTTGTGCGGGTGACTACACGTTTCAACAGTTCATTTGTCAATAGTTCAGAATCTGTAGTTTGTTTCCTTAAATTCAAAGTGGTTGTCAGTGCAGTTGACAACATACATTATGAAAATTCCAGTCTTCAAAAATGTCCTTTAAAACAAAAGGAAAAATTAAAAATATTCTCTGAAATGTTCCCATCTTTTAAAAAAGTCTAATTATTATATTTGTCTTTCTACAAGTAAACCTACAACAACAGAATTTTTGGCTTAATTTCTGTAATGCTATTTATAATTTATTTGATGTAAACATACCCTCCACTGAAAACTCTTGATTCATGACAAACTACACATTTCACAATATCTGAATGCTCCTTGCAGACATAGGCTGAAAGAGATACACAAATTAAAATCTAGAGTATTAATAAGAATATTAGACTTCATGAAAGATGTTACTTGTTTTGTCATGATTGTGAGATAAGGAAAAAGATTTGAGTCCTCATAAGGAATCAAGCCCCAGACCTAAGCATCCCATAATTCCATGTTCTACCTCTAAGCTGTAGAGACCTTGAGGTAGAGAAAGGTCATTGGTAGGATCACATGCGACATATCCCGCACACCTCTAGGATCAGCAATGTTGAAAGTATCATGAGAGTACATAGAATAAATAAAGATTGTACTTTTTTACAACATAATTTCTCCAAAACAGAGTACCAACCTACCCTTTGTGTCTATTACATGCCCAATTTCTCTGCCTGAAATTAAAAATGAAAAAAAAAAAAGTACTAATTAAAAATCAAAGATAAGCTTCTATCAATATCAATAGCCAATTAAAAACTAAGCAAAGGAAATGCCCACATGTCCACCCCAAGGGGGTCATAGAGTGGGAGGTCTCAGGAGGGGGGGAGAGATGGAGATCGATCCTAAAAAATCTTGCTCTCTTTTAGAAAAATAAAATAAAAACATCCTTTCCAAGAGTTTAAATGAGGTAAACCTATTGACTGAGAGGGAAGGCTGATGTGTGGACTAGTGTAGCACTTGCAGGGCAAAATAACCTGGATCTCTAATGTTGAAAACTTGAACTGCTGAATCCACAGCTGCAACTATTTGGTTCCTCCTTGCATTCCATGCCATACAATATACTGAAGATCCAATCTAAAAGAATTGGGTAAAAGTTCGTTAAATATTCAAACAGCTCTCTTTAAAAAAGAGAAATAATCCTTTATTTTGCCTCTTAAAAACCAATAAAATTATCTAACATTTTTACACAACATGATTAAATAAATAAATGCATAAATTAAAGCTCCCCCTCAGGGGCTTTTCAGCCAAGATATAAACTAACTAAGTGCTTAAAAATCCCCACTGGCAGGAGGCAGACCAGTGGGCTATTTACAGAGTGCAGCCAAGGAGTTGAACCAGGGGCAACCGAGAACAAATCCAGTGTGTGGCAGGGTGGAGGAGTTGAACCCAGGACACCGGATTACAAGTCCAGCACCCTAACCACTTGGCCACACTGCCTCAATTCTAAAACACATTGCCTGGATTCTAAAGCTAAGCCTAAATACTATGTGAAATTTATCCATAAATTCAATGAACAATGCTCAAAATCCAGCTACAATAATTCTTTAAATAAGAATGACTGAAGCTTTCAATTAAACCAATACAATTCTTAATGATAGCAATCACTTAGAAGATCAGGCAAACAGCTCTCTTTCTTTGTTTACTAATGCCTATAATCCTTTCACTCACAAGATATAATTTTTTCTACTATCTGTGAAAAATTCTGAGAAAATGGAGTTAAAAAAAGTAAAGAATATCTCCTGCTTGATATTTTTAATTTCTCACCACCTATGTGCCCGTAAAAACATTTAACAATGTGGGGAGAAATCACTTAGTGATCACCACTAGGGGTCTGAATGACTAACTTTCCATTTTTTACCCCTTTGATTCTTTGCAAGATAATAAAACATATTCTTTGTATAGATTTCATACATTGTCAAGAAGATAGGTAACATTAATTACAAGAATTGCCAACCTAAGTATTTTGTTTGAGTAAAATTAATATGATCAAACTCTGACAAATTATCACCTATTAATGAAAAATCTACTCTTAGCTATAAGGAATCAATGACCGAGTTATGTAGAGCCCCATTACCACTGATTTACCACAGGTAAAAGGTTGAAATACCAGAAGTTAAACAAACTGAAAAAAGATCAACTAACAACTCACTGTTAGTAGTGTTTTTAAACCTTAACTTTAATAAACTAATTATTTGATAAAAACACCCTTTTTCAAACTTACTGGAATCTTATCATGTACAGCCCCGCCAGAGCCCCACACAATAATGGTGCCATCAATAGCTGCTGAAAAGAGAAGTTTTGCATCTACCCTATTGAAAAAATTATGATCATGTTTTAAAACTCACATTCATGTATTTCTAGTTGTTTTCTTTCCATTCAGCATACACTTCATACCATTTAACGCAGAGTCAAGACAAAAATGGAAACCATGCACACATACTGACTGTAATGGGACCATGCAAAAGTCCAAGCCCTGGTTGTTCAAAGGTTGGATAATGCTATCAGTGGATAAATCTCTTTGAACAACCATGTCAGTTCCTTGGATAGCATTAACTGCCCTTTATACAACTAGCCTCAATGTGGTACTAACCAGAATACAAAGCTTGTAACCCAGCCTTCATGTTCACGAACTGAGCGAATAATTTTCCCAGGCTCACCAGTGGAATAGTCCCATACTTTGATCACTCCATCTAAAAACAGAAAACAACAAACATTGCTTACCAAGTGATCACTGGTTCTTAACTGTTTACTCCACATGCAATGCTCACATATTGAGAATTTAAAACTGTCTCCATTTTTGCAACAGGTGTTTATCATCTCTGGAGTAGCAGCTGACAAAGATGATTAAAAAAGCTATTTTCTCACTGGCTGGGAAAAAGATGCAATTTGAAGAAAAAAATGGTGGGATTCATATATATAGTGCACCAATGAGAGCCAATTAGATTGGAAGGATCAGCAGGGATTTAAAAATATTTGTAATAGAAGTAATAATATAATTTGTGAAAGTTTAAATGGCAGTTTAACCTCTGCTTTTCGCCCTCACTGATAAATATTATTTGATTTACAATAGGTAAATGAAGAAAAGCCTGGTAGATACCGTTAAGGCCGTGATATGATGAGAACATATACCAATATAATTTGGCCCAAGTAGTAGATTATTTGGACAACACGTTCAGTCGGAAATGGGTTTGAAGACAAAATATTGAACTGCTCTGCAAAGGATAATTACAGCTCAAAGGTAGATTAAATTCGGAAAAAGTCACCTTTGAAGTTGAATAATATATAAAGACAACAGCTTAAATTATGACAATTAGCTTAACTGAAGCTTTGTGAGACTTATCTGCCACTAAAACAGCATTTGGAATTCCAGCTAGTATCATATTTCATGTAACACTACGCGTACCTTCAAATCCTAAAAGAATTTCATGTTTCATCGGATTATATGAAAGCGCTGTGATCATTTTACTGTGAGTATCTTTGATCACGGCGAGCCTTTCCATCGCCATCTTCGGCGACCAGTCGGAGGAGCACCTCTTTCGCAGCTCTTATCTTGTCACTGCTGCAGAAAACCGCTAAATTCCTAAATTCCTAAATGGACAACATACAGGATCCTCCACCTCCATGTTGCCTAGGGAACACGAAAAAGACTGGGACTACATCAAATCGAGGCTACAGAAAAAACGCGGGGAAAAAAATTGGAAGTGATACGCCTTTCCTTTTTCCTAACTATGCTTTTTCCTAACAGCATCATCACTGAAAGAAACTTTAAGGTCATGAGAATAACGGAAATCATTACAAACTCAAGAAGCCCTTGGTTGTTGGACAAATTCTCCTTGTAGGTATCATAGGAAATATGCAACAGTATGGAGAACTGACATACTAATGTTATGTTTACTAAGACTACATTCCTGATCGTTCTTGTTGGTCATTAAAGCTATTTCTCAAATTTCCAAACTTTTTCAAGAATTATACATTCTGAACGAGCCCTGGGTAAAAAACATGTTAAACATGGCTGTCAAGTTTAAAGGGTCGCATAAGAACTAAGGAATTAACTAATTCTTTGTAATTTAATCTCCCAAATCAAAGTTATGTTCGACCCATTTTGCTTGCTCAACATCTTCATATGCTCATGAATACTTGCACCAGCTTGTGGCTGATATACAGGAGCATGAAGTTGTTAAAAAGCTTGGTTCTTCCCACCAGAGAACTTTTAACAACTACTTTGAGGAAAGCAAATGCCACGGCAATATCCAGATCAGGAACAGAATGATTATTTAACTGTCGGGGATTTTCATTTTAATCAATAAAAGAGAATACTTCATCCTCACTTTTATTCTCATGTTTACATTTCTCATACTAGGTACTTTGCGCTCCAAATAGAGCAAATAAGTTGATGTCATAAGTATGATTGACCAAGTATATATTATAATACAAAAGCATAAAGCCTTTCTGCTAAATACTAGCAGCAGCATTTACACATGACAACTTTGACAACAGGACTTTATCATGAATGAAGACACCCATGAGTTCACGGCTCGACACTATAGGTAGCCCACTAGCCACAGACTAGTAGAAATTCAGTTTTGGCTAATGGTTTTCGATTTCCACTGGCCAGTTTGGCAAGTAAACAAACCAAAATTGTCATAACATCTAAAAACAACTGAGATGTCACAAGCCACTCGGCTAGTAAGTTGAAAAGTAAAAGTTGGTGTCAAGCCCTGGAGTTGTTGACACAACATCCTCTCTAGTGCTTTCTCTTCTTTAACCCTTCTACTCCCAAGATCTCATTTATTTAGTAATTCTCCTTACTGTCTGTCATACAATACTTATGTTAGTTTGGAGAATTTGGCATTGGATCAACTGAAAATTCCCTGATTTTCTTTTTTCCTAATTCTCGTTTCTGTCTGCTTGATATTGTAAGGAGAAATTCTGTCTTGGTCATTCATAGGAGTCAAAGGATTCATATGAAAAAAAACAAACAAAAAAACAAGTAAATACAGTTGAACCTGTATTAAGTGGTCACCCAACCCAAGGGAAATGATCGCATGACCACTTAAAGGTTCCATAGAATAGGAATATTGTAAAAGATGAAAAAAAAAAAAATGCCATGCCCTGCTATAATTGACCACCAAATTTACAAATACTCGCTCAAAAATACTGCTGAAGTTGATTTTAAAAGATAAACTTGGATTAAATTTTACTTGAGAGATAATTCTTAGTTTTATTTGATGGGTCCTGCTTCAAGTGACCATTCAGGTCAGCTGGAAAACAATACAAACTGATGGATAGTATTTAGTAAAGGGTGACAAAACTGCTTAATATGGAGTGACACCTTAAATACAGAGCCACTTTTAAGCAGCAGTGTATTTTTCTAAAATAAGAAGTAATGAAAATAAAATGTAATGCATTCAGGTGACATTTATGTCCAGGTAAATAGTGATTTAGTTAAATGTATAAACAGCAGTATTAAATCAGTAAAAACAGTAAAAAACGAAATGAAACAGTCAAAAGAATAAAAATAAATTAAATGTGCCACTACTCCACAACGATAGTCCTGACAGGCTTGTGTTGAGACATGCTGGAGAATCTTTCATCCAGAGTGGCGAATGTCTAAAAAATAAATGGAAAAAAAAACAACAACAAAAAGATGTTAAAAACCATGATAACACATGAATCTGGTGTACACCCATCTTAAAGAGGGTTTACTATGGCTATGAAAACAGTGTGGAGACTATAAACTCTAAAGTTAGATTGGAAAGGGTTCATTTAATCTACAACAATGTCAAGTGCTGTCTCTTGGCAAAATTGATGAAATGGAATGACCTCCTCTCAAGTGACTGAAATAATTTGGAAAGAGGAACTATCATCAAAAATGAACACTGACATGGTAAATATTGAACAGACATTACAAAGTTTTTCCCAACATACCTTCCCTGTCATGGCAGTATTCATTGGTGGATTGAAATGGTTTGTGTACACAAGTGGCTTGAGTGGGGAAAGCTATAAAAAAAAAACACACACACACACACAACAGCATTGAAATATAAAGTATCAGGAATCATCTTTTCAGTCTCGATGTGCTATAGTTACATTTTGAGAAACTCCTAATCAGCATTGTGTGGATTTGAGATCTGTTCATGTTGGCAAGAAGAGACGACAACAGATACTTGAACAATTTAAAAGGAATTTAATAATCAAGATCCAAGGAATCTGCTAGCCTTCTAGTCTTGCACTGAATCATTTGACTCAAGGCATTTTAACTGTAAAAAACCCCTCACTGCAGCCAATTGCAATTACAGGGTTGAAAGAAAGGCATAATATGGAAAATACTGTGCGCTATAGAACTGCCAGACATTGGTGACTTAATTACACTGCAAATTTATTTGCCAAGAGTTATTTTTATTTTCTATGGTAATCAAAACAGTTGTAAGCTTAGAGTACTGAGCCAGGTTGGTCAAGGGTGGGGTCATAGTTACTAACTATGGTGGGATAAGATAACCCAGGGTTAGTGCGAAGTCTGATTTCAGATCTGAAAGCTTTAAAAGAAAATTCAGTTTAATTCCATTTGTCTACAATTTGATGATTGAATGCTCTTAAAAAGAATTGGGAAAATTGTCCCAAAACAGCTTTTGCACAAACAAATATAGAAACCTGCATTAAAATTTAAACTAGGGTTAGAGCTAATCTACCTTCAAACAACTGGACCCTTCATGATTTTCTGCTTTATCTCACCTGATGTAAATTGTTTGGCACTGAAATTCTCAGATCCTCAGTTAGACCCATGCCTCTTGGAATGTTTGCTGCAGATTTTCCCCTCCATCCTCTTCTGCTCCTTGGGTTTGTCTGTTGACTCACAGGTTGTTTCCATTGTGGAGTTCTTGTTAACCTAAATATTTAAATTATAGATCAGACTTTTCCCTGCCAGTGATTTTAACTACAAATGTACAATGTTTTTCCCAAAACCAATTGTTCATCTGCATTTTTCCACATTTTAGGCAGTTTACTTGTTTTTACTTTGAGTTCTAATACGCTCTTCAGGGAATTCTTTTTCTCTCTGATTGACCATTAAGATTATCTTGGTTTTAGTTTCAGAGCACTGGATCAAAAAGCCCTTCATTGTGTTCTATCGGGATTCTAATTCGATGCCATGCATTTTTTTTTTTACTGATCTTGGCGTCTTGCCCATTTTCACAGTACACCACCATCATGCATGGTTAACTAAATCTTATTTGATTTAAACAAATTTTCCTTGTCTGCACCAAAGCAAATGTATAGAGAACAGTGTGGAGAATAAACATGCCAATGTTAGGGTGTACAGGTTTAAATCAGAGTTTTCATGTTGATGTAGGAATTACATTGTACATCTTTGCATCAAGGTCAACTTATGATACTCACGTCACTCTGGGATTATTAATGGAGACAGTCAGTTGAGGAGCCTGCATACCTCGCCTAAAAATCAACAAACACTAATTTGAATCATTAAGGTATCCAACTTTACAATGTAGGTTAAGGTTATCTAAATGTTGCATACCATGGAATAGAATAGAATAGACTTTATTTCAAGAGGGTAGCATGTGACAGTAATTAAACTGATGATCCTGTGGCCCTCTTAATAATCCCAACCCATCCCACCCCAGGGGTGGACATCCATCACATAGTAATCTCATGTGTGGGAAATTAACGTCTGCTACCCCTAACCCTGCAGGAGACGAGACCTCCATTTATTTGTCCCTATCCGAGAAGACTAGAATATCTAACCATTTTTTGATGTTATAGAAAGGTAGCATATTCTTCTCAATTATTTCAAGACCTTGAGTGTTGGCCCGGCCAGGGCTCGAACCATCGACCTCCCGCACAACAGTCCAGCGCTCTATCCATTGAGCTAACTGGGAGGCGGATTTCAATAACTTTTTCCATTAGTGCCTGCCAATGGTTTCACAGGTAGCTGTTTCCAAACACGGGCCGTAAAGTTAAATTCAACAACAAGAGCCTGTTCAGGTCAGACATGTAATGGTAGACCACCGGAAATCAGCTTTAATTAAAACCCCCAAGATTCACTTACAAAGGAGATAAAAGTTCAAAGGCTGATAGTTTTGAAAGAAACTGTTTGGGGCCGCGTCGGTGGGAGTAACGAAATAATTTGGATATATCAACTAAGTTGAAATGGTAAATTGGCCAACGTAACAATTACAAAAGCTGACATTTCGAACGTTAGCCCTTCGTCGGAGCGAAATAGCGAAATAGCTCTGGAGCGAAATAGCAAAATAGCTCCGATGAAGGGCTAACGCTCGAAATGTCAGCTTTTGTAATCGTTACAGTGGCCAATTTACCATTTCAACTTTGTTGATATATCCAGATAAAAGTTCACTTTTGCTAGAGGATATCTGGGATTATGCCAATAATTGCCCTTCTAAAGTTGGGCTTCACAACTTTCAATGGATTCAATGGACAAAAATATGAATACCATTGCAAAAGTCACAGCTGATGGATAAAGGATGCATACCTGTTTTTTCGCTGCTGTCTTGTTGCTCCAAGACTTTTTACATTCTGTGCCTTGTTCTGTCGGTTTATCTTAAAATGAATGGCAAACACGTTAATTAAAAATGGTGTTTGGCCAGGCCGCAAATGCCCAAAATACCAGCACAACATTCAAACCCTTTACTGCCTAACACCAGTATGCATTTGAATTCCATGCTGATCTCCAGACATTTCCTGGAGAACATACATACTGATGTTAACAGGTAAAGGGTTACTTTCAATGTAAAACCAACATGATAACACACCCACATTAAGTTTTAGAAATTACCTGCATTCCTCTTCTGTTATTGATGATATTTTGTCTGGCATCTTTTTGCTGAGTTTGTCTGTTTTTTAGTCTTCTATTCTGTTGAATCTGCTTGGCTTTGGAAATTATCTGTTTACTCTGTGGTTAAAAGAAAAGTAACAATCCTTTTATTGTCAGGACTTCACAGATGATTATCAGAACTGACACTGGGACCTGCTTGCAATCATCATGGGTTCTTCCATGAAAACTTAGTGCAACAGCTCAAACACAATTACTCCTTTCTATATTGATATTACCATAAAACCCCGTGGATAAGCCACACCCGCAGATAAGCTGCACCCCTAATTTAGCAGCTCAAATTTTGGAAAAAAAGTTTTATGATACAAATCAAAAGAAATCCAAAGTTGAGTCTTGAGAAGTCTTGTTCATCCACTGTTCATCGAACATAAACTCATCATTAACATTGCAGCAGAAAATACTTCAAAGTGTTACCCACAATTTTAGCTCTTTAATATAATGAACATTGTTTCTACCAACTTTGATAATTATATGATTGGTCTTCTTGTATTTTTTGACAGGAATTTCTTCATTCAACACAGTTTTTCCATATATTTTTGCATCACAACAAAAACGTGAGCAAAACATTCGAAGCTTAGTAACCAGTCATTAGATCGGACACAAAAATGGACATTCACAACACCTTTTTCAAATGTTCCTGCAGATAAGCCACACTCCCAATTTCTAGTGATGATTTTTGGGAAAAAAGTGCAGCTATCTGCGGGCTTTTACAGTATGTTTGAAATAGGTTACCAATAGCATCTTTACACCCTTTAATGTTTATGTCATCTTGAGACCCAAATAAATCAACCAAAATACAAACCTCTTAATAAACAGATCTTGTACACTGTAAACTTTTATCATCATAGAAACCAGGCTATCATGAAAAGCACCAAGCTTATATACTGTCTTAGAAACTTTAAGGTTCTCTTAACCCCTTTAGTTCCTTAGAGCAACCAGCTTTTAATTTCTCTTTACATTATCTCCCTTGAGTCATATGAAAAGGTCAGGAGAAAAAAGGAAATGATCACCAAGATGAGCAGCTCTTGATTGTGTACAAATTCTCCTTGTCAACAACTTAGGAATTGTACAAAGATCAGTATGGAGAATATGCATACTGATATTATAATGTCAAGGGTTTAATGCACAGCCATGCAAATGAAGATCAAAAGAAGAAAGAAAGACTGTACCTTCTGAGCATTACTTTGCTTGTTTTTAAGTCTGTTTACAGCCACTTTAGCACCCCTGGTTCTTCCTTTGTTTCCTACAGTTTGATTTTTCTTGTAGGTTTGATTGCCGCTGCCTCCTCTTTGCTGAACCACCTGACCTTTTTGCTTCCCAGTTGCTGGCCTTTTTCGACCCTGGGCTCCCTGTCTCTGTTGTGCAGACTGGCCAGCATTCTTCCCAGCTATTCTTCTTCTCTGATTCTGTTTAATGGAGGTTCCTTTGTTCCCTTGATTCTTCTTTTGCTGTTTCTGTGTTCCCTTCTTCTGGGTTTGTTGTGTCTTCTTTTTCAAAGCTTTCTTTTTTAGCCTTTTCTGGTCTTTAATAATGTCATCTTTGAAAAAGAGAGTCAAGACTATTATGCAGGGTTTTTCCATTTCAAAAATCTATTTAAACATTCCCTTCTTAAAAGAAACTGTAATTGAGATAAGAGAAATAAATTACATTTTAATCCTTTTATTCCCCAAGATCTCATTAGTGATTCTCCTTACTGTCTGCTATACAATTCTCTATATTTCAGTTTGGAGAGTTTGGTACTGGATCAACAAATAATCACCTGATTGATAGTCTTCTAAAAGTTTATTCTCATCAGTTGGCTGCTTGATATTGTATTGTTATTGAAAGGAGAAATTCTGTCTTGGTCACTCATGGGAGTTTAAGGGTGAAAAAAAGTCTCTAGTATTTCTTTTGTGGTAAAATCCGTAACGAAACAATTTCTGAAAATGTAAACACAATTAATAAATCATACAATTTACCCATTGAACAGAATTGCATCTGTTTGTACAATCAAACGTTACAAAGATAGAACTTCAATTTACCCCTCGAGACTTAACCAATTATTTTATGGCTCTGCAAAAAAAAATTTCTGCATTATCTTTGTAGAACCTACTATCAAAACTGATCAGGTTTTGATGAAAAAAGTTCTAGGATCAAAATCCTTGTTACCGTTACCAACTTGATCTTTTCAATCATTGATACCATACCTTCTGAAAAAAGCAACGAGTTAAATTATCCAAGTAACAACGCTTTCGATCTTTCTTTCCAAAATTCATACGATTTCCTAAACCTTTCTTTGACACATTTCAAACCAAAGAAAATTTGGTGAATGCAACCTCACAGTCATAATTTGAGACCACGTAGGCTGTTCACGCTTCCAAAACATAGCTATCTTTATCCAACATAGCGAGAATGGAACAATCATGTCATGGGAAGTTTTAATACTTCCAGGAGAAAATAGGTTGAAAAGTTAGGTTATGCCAGTTCTAAAACAAGTAGATTTACTCACCAAGAGATCTATCTATGTTGGTGGACATACTGTAACGACTAACTCCGGACGATAACAAATCGTTTAGAAATTTTTAAGGACGCCTGACGCTGGCTTGGAAACCTCGCGATATTTCATTCAACGGCCCAGACTGAGACCAAAAGTTTGGACTGGACTTCAGGTTAACGGACCGAAAGAGCATGGACATGGAACAAACAAAGAAACAAAAAAATCAGCGGAATCGAGTCCCAAACCTTCCAAATTCGTACTGGGATGCTTTGCCACTGACTTTATAGCAAGACTAAACCAAGTGGAGAATTTTGAGCCAACTCGTCGGATGAAGCATTTAGAACATATTTGTTGCACTTGTAGCATTTGTAGTTCACTGTGAATCACTGAGCGGCGTCTGAAACGGTCTAAGCCCGAGTCTGGGGTACACCGGAAATATTTAAACTTCCGATGACATGTTCCATTCTCGCTATGTTGGATATAGATATCTTTGTCGGCGAGCGCGGACTCGAAAAAACAGATAAAATTCATTGGCATGCCATGATTACGCTCAAGTAACAAAAGTTAAAAAATTAAGGAAAAAGATGCGACATGCAAGGGCGTAGCCAGGGGGGTCCTTTGGTACCCGTGACTGACCCCCCCCCTTGGTAGGCCTTCTTTTGAGCAACAACCTACAATATTCAAGTGTCGAAAACGCCATGACAGTATCTTGGCCGTAAAAGCTATTGTTGAAAAGCCCACTTTTTTAAAATTTGTTTTTCGGTGAAGTATTTTCGTCAACGGCTCTTGTATTTAGTTAACATGGGCCTCCATGCCGCGAAAATACGACTGAGCCCGCTGATACACGCGGGAGAGCAGCGGTGTAAATGGTGAGTAGCCTCTGTGATCTGTGGCTGGGTGAAGACTAATTTCGTACCCAGACTGTCCACGGCCAAGTTCAGTTACACATTCAAGGTGGGATCTGGGTAAACGATTAAGGTAGTTGACTGTGAATATATGAAAATCATACATGTGAAATGGGTGTTAAGAAATGAATATCAAACCAATCTTTGCCATAGTGAACACCACTTGCTCAGTTGGTAGAGCACTATGCCGGTACCGCAAAGGTCATGGGTTCAAATCCCGTACAAGCCTGAATTTTTTTTCAGGCCTCATTTGCACTGTCAATTAAGAGATTAAGATATAGATAAGGGTAAAACTGCAATTGCAAGGGAAGGGCAGGTTGTGACTAGGCCTTGTGCGAGTAAAAGTAGCATATTATGCTAGTGGCATTGCTTTTTTGGCGAAATTATGCTCTTTTTTCCAAATTATGCCCCTTTTTTTAAAATTATGCTCTTTTTAAAATTGCAAAAAAGTCCAAAAAATACCCTTTCTAATCAGAAGCATTTGGTCTACAAGAAAGCAACGCAACAAATCCACAATGAAATTCAAATAAACATGTGGCTCATGTTAACATGCACACTAGTACTAGACTAAACTCTCATGTAGCTTATCTGCGATTGAGCCAGTTTGTAATTTGAAGCCTTGCCTGATGAGAGGTTCTGGGACCAACATGGCCAATAATGTGACTTCCGGTTCCGGTGCACCCCAGACCCGGGCTCAGACCGTTTCAGACGCCGCTCAGCGATTCACAGTGAACTACCAATGCTACTACTTGAACTAAAACTTAAAACATCGAATAACGTCACCAAGTGCTTGGGAGTAGAGATGAACAATGATCAAATTGTAGCATCAAAAATGATCCGATAACTATCAAAATATGCGAATTTTGCTAGAATTGCTACATGGTAGAGATTATGCCAGTTTGCTCCAATTTTGCCAAAAATTATGCTAGCATAATCTCTTTAGGCCTAGTTGTGACGCCAGTAATGAGCACGACTCCAATATGGATTGTTTATTGGCTTCATAGAAACTATGACAAAGATCGTTGCAATGTGACCACAACTTGGTTTAACGATAAAGTAAGATTGAGTTTAGCCTTCATATCAATTAAATCCGCTTCCTTTTAGGCGAGCAGGAGTTCAACTCTTTGCTTTTCATGCTCACTCCCGCCCTACACTCTCACGCGGCTTTTGCTGACCGCGCTCCTCTCTGTCTCGCCAAAAGGAAACGGGAAGGAGTGCTACTCAGGCTGTAATGGATCAGTTTCTATCCATTTAGATCAACTTCATCAAATTCCTTTTCTTTTTTTTCTTTCGTCCTATTTTTTCCGTTCAATTTTTGTTTGGAGCGTCTCATCGCCAGAGTAACTTGATCCCCATGGTCTTGTGTCATCATAAATAAGTAGTCTACATTCCGAGAGGTAAATAATTTCGTTTTCTAAAATTTATCTATATTTAATTTAATTTTAATTATTATTTAATTTATTTATTTGTATTTCTAAATTGTGGACAAGATGTTGTCAACTTTTAAAAACTGCATGTAGTACGCATCTGACCTATTCATAACAAATGAATAGAGGGGGTAAGTTTCTAAAGAAACTGTGGAGCTGCGTCGGTAGGGGTAACAAGGTAATTTGATAATATCAACTAAGTTGAAATTGTAAATTGTCCGCCGTAAAGAGTTAAAAAGCTGACGTTTCAAGCGTTAGCCCTTCGTTAACTCTTTACGGTGGCCAATTTGCAATTTCAACATAGTTGATATTACCAAATGATCAATTCATAACAAAACGAGCACATCTTAATCCTAAAGCTATCTTTTACTAATTTTTAAACATCTGTCTCTCTCTCTAAAAACTGCATGTAATACGCAATTTGTGATGGATTTCCTGTAAAAATAATATGCGTCTCAAAGAAAGATGGTATTTTCTTCTTCTCCCGAAGAAGATTTGACCTCATGTTAATCTCCGTTGCACCCTGTCGTCTCGTCGGAGTTAAAACTGGGACTAGTGATAGAATGCCTGCGCACACTGCTATAGCAGCGCCCGAGAAGAAAAAGGCTTCGTTATACGTGCTTGTGATCTCACTAAGAAAGCCTGTAAAGTGAAAGTAAATGAAAAACATAAACTTGCAAGATTTTCCATGAAAAGCTTAAAAGGAAAACTTTAAGTAGTGTAAATCATTTATCATGGCACTACTACAGCGGGGTTCCTTTGACAAGCGTCGCTGACGGCAGTCATTCTTTTTTATTGAATTAAACAATTTTACTTGAAAATTTCACCTGCTGTCTAAATAGAACGTGATCATAAAAATTAGTTCACATAAAGTAGTAAAAGGTCATGTTGCAATCCACACATAACCTTCCACGAGTGAACGTTGCAAAACTCTGTGTGCGTCCGGGGTGTAACTGCAGTAATCGTAACCTCACCACACCACGATGATAAAGCCGTATTTATACGGTACGAATGATGTTGACGGTATGTGGGTTGAAACTTAAAACAATAAATGAATACGAAATTACACCAATTGACTAATAAAAGTGACAAGAAAGAAATACACTGAACGAACTGAACAAACTTGAAATGACAATACTTACATTGTTACGATTTCTACGAAACTGCTGGACGAATATAAACTGCCAAAAGGCGAAAATAAGATAAACTAGAGTAACTGCTCAAAGCGCACTACTGTATGACTAACGGTGACTAAACTCTGAACTTGAGAAAAACTAATTTAAATATGCGAAGACGACTAGCTAACTTAAAGTGCAATTAGTGCCTATATTACGAAAGAAACTAATTAACGAAGATGCGTGACATAGAAACAACAGAAGCTAACTAACCAGCGAAAAAAATACTAACGAACGACGAGTAACAGCGACAACACAAAAGGACACCCTAATGATTGATTGAATGAGAAAAACGAAAAACAGAAAAAAAACATTCCGCACGCTAAGACCCTAAACATTTGGAATTCTAATCCCATTCATGAAGGTCAACCTTGAAACATATGGTAAAGCTCTAACCTGTTCTGCGAAGAAAGGGCTAAGGTTTTGATGTATTATTTTTTTGAAAATCAAAGGCTCAAAAATTAAAAGAATGGAACTTGTACAGTGGGTTCCCTGTACGTCGAACCAAGACATATAAACGGTTAGAGGAGAAACGTACCTGCTAGAAGTGAGCCTGTCATTATAGGAATTGAGAATACCAAATATAGAAAGCCGAGAGCTGATGACAGCTTGTTCCTGCCGACGATATCTCCAGTGACGATTGGAATCAAAGTCACAAACACTCCATCAAAAATCCCAAATAAAATTGTATATAGGATGAGTCCGCCATAATTTGTCGCCAGTGGACACAGCGTTGTTGTGACTGCCATTATTAGAAGTGCTGTTTGGTAAAGGTACATCCGATTGACACATCGGTAATCTGAGACATGGCCGAAGAAAAGCCGACCAACCAACGAGCCGACCGACAGGAAACCGATGAGAAAGGAGGCCTTTGATTGAGGTATCTTATGATAAGTCGCGTGTATAGGCTGTGAGTCGAAAGAAAAACGTAATCAATGATGTCGATGAGATTTTCCTTGCTACAATTTGCCATTTCAAATGATTAGAAAAATATACTTTAAGGTAAAATAGAAGGGTGATAAACTGGTGGTGCAAACACCTCGAATGAAACCGTACCTTTGAGCTAACCCTTTGCCGTTTCCCGTGGCAACACGTTATTCTCCAACAAACTATCTACAACCTTGTTCAATTAAGATTTATTCGAGCCTACTCGCGAGGCTTCCGCTCGCAGAACTACTCCCCCACTAAAACTTACTTTAAACCGTGTCGTGACCAAAAAAAAAGGCGAAGAAATTACAGCTCTGCGCTAGGACCAAAGTAATGCCATGGTATGACAATCAATTGTTCTAAGCTTAGTAACTGCCATATTTGTTAAAGTATTGGGCTCGTGCGCACTTTGCGTGAAGGAGCTACTTCACTACTTCACAACCCTCCCCCCCCTTCTCTCTTTCGTACTCCCTCCCCCCTTGCAGTCATCCACGATCCAAGTGTCATGCAACTCAGGTCGTTTTAAACGTTTAGGCTAAGAAGAAAATGAGGCAAGGAGAGAGGACAGTCCATACTCGTGGTGAAAAGGCGAGAATAGGTCGTCTATAACTAAAATCATACAAGAATACTCACCAAATAAACGTAAGGTATAAAGTAACCTAGGTTGAATATGCCAAGTGCTAGTGCCCATACAACGAACCCCTTGTTACTCCACACAGTTAAATCAATAACCTTGTTCTCGCGTTTCTCAATCTCCCTCTCCACAGGTGGAGCTCTATAAGAGAAGGCTGCCATAATCATCACGAAAGTGACTACCCCGAGAAACCTCATGGTATGTCGCCACCCGATGCTTTCTACGAGTGCGTTGATTGTTGGGCCCATAACTAGAGCACCGACTGCGCTCCCCGCGGTGATGATCCCATTTGCCAAGGATTTCCGACGTTCAAAGTATCTGTCCACCATGAGGAATGTTGGCACGTAACTCATACTAGACCCCATTCCCCACATAACACTGTAGGTAATATAAATGGGAACGAGGCTACTGACAAATGACGTGGCAACCATTGCAGTGACTGAAATGATTCCACCAGCTATGGCGACGTTTCTGCAGCCAAATCGATCACAAAGTGCGCTAGTAAATGGGCCAAAGAAGAAATTCATGCCCAATCCCATCGAGCCTATGTAACCTGCGGAAAAGAGAGGAGGCAGTGAGGCTGCGTTCACACTTGATGCTCGAGCATTAGTGTCAGGACACCGGAACAAAATGGTGCTGTGTTCTGCCACTGGGTGCCCAATATATTAGCGCCCGGTTCAGTGCCCGAGTGCAAAGTCAAGATATTGTACTTGGGTACGGGCACGGTGCCCGAATTCTCGCGTGGGTACTTGAAATAAAGTTGTGTTCACATTAGTGACCATCAAGAATCGTACTCGGGCACTGTGCTCGAGCACCAAGTGTGAACGCAGCTTAAGAGTTAGAGCCGGGAATTGACTACACCACTTCTGAGGCATTGATACACATGGGTGGTGGAAAACAGCTAGATAGAAAGTTAACAGAAGACTAGACTAGAGAAAATAAATTAAACAAGCCATAAGGAACATTACTTTTGGGTCACATCTATTCGGAGTCACTCAGAGAACACAAGAGTTCCTAAATCGTTACCTCGAAAGGCACACCCTTTACGTGCAAGTCTAATGTCTCTTGTGTGTCGAAATGTGAGTATTAACCTGTGAGTATTTCACCTGTGAGTATTTCACCTGTGAGTATTTAACCCCAGCCATATTTCCACGAGAACACGATGTACAGAATGCCAAAACTATTGTGGATTCCCAACACCACTAATTGCACAAGAGCTGCAGATATACAGACCATCCAATAGCCACCATCTTTGCAACTTTCAGTCTTGCGACAAACGACAAGGAAAGCTTAGTTAGGTTTGCTTTGTTCTTATTTCTTATTTCTAAGGATACCGATGTCAAGTTGAGGACTGAAAGACTACGATCCAAAGTTATTTACCTTTGCTAACTGTATCATGGACCTTATGAACTGCTTTGTATCAGCTTTGTTTGTCTGCTCAAACCAGTTTCAGTTACACAACTTTGTTAGTTATAGCGGGGCTCCCACGCGCGCAAAGCGCGCGTGGGGCAGAGCCCCATACTCATGGAATATGGTCAGCCTCTTTTCATTTGGTTGTCACGTGACTGACCGAGCGTTCGTACGTACG